GGGGCAAAACCTCATCAAGACATGAGAAGTGACCTTGATAAATGAGTTGCACAACTAACCGAAAATGACTCGATGGTCGCTTTATCTTTGCAACACACATGCCTCTGGCCGAAGAACTTAGGACGTCTATGATGCCTGGAGGGCATGCTCAAAGTACCTTCTGGATCATTCTGTTGGATGACGCATCGACCAGTCATTCCAACTGGCGAAGACGTGTTTGTGTTTGATTGTCGTCACAACATCACTCGACCGATTTAATAGTGGTCCGTGATTCATTGTGTATTCTTGAGCCTGTGCTTTCACGCTCCCGATGAATGGTTATGTAGTTTTCTCATAATGCACGTTTGAGTGCAGTCCAGTGTTTATATCCTGTCGTTAAATCACGGCGTTATCATCACCAAAACGTCCATATTTTATTGACGGAACACTACTCATAAGGCTGTTGAAAATTCTTCGATTTGGTTGAGTGTGCTGTTAAAGCCAAATTGGTGTGCAACTGGTTGTATTTCGTGTAAAGCACGTATAATTTACTTATACGAGATTTCGGGATCTAAAGTAGAGGCTGCGTGCCGCGTTCGACGTGATGTTATCCGACAGGCTACCGATAGAAAAGCATACAGTTGATAGCGGTGTTATCTCCGTCGTCCTCAAATAGTGGCCATACAGATCATCATGTGATCTGAAGGTTGGGGTTCTTAATGTTTGCTGTCTATGTTGGTTAAGTCAGTGAAATGAGTACATTTTCACAACAGTGCAAGACAACAGCATCATGCCGTTTTAGGAATGTGCCTATTCTTGTGTGATTTGTGGTTACCCGTACCCAAATCCACTCCTTTTTCATAAAGGACGGAAAATGTAATGTGGTTACCTAAATGCGAGTGACTAATAGACCAAGCAGTACGTCTTCATCAGATATTCAACTAAAAGTAGATGTAGGAGCAATACAGATATGTGGAAGGAGTAAACTTCGCAGAATGTACAACTCAATCCTACAAATTGATCGAGCGCAACCGGTATCTCACCTAGCCATATATACATACGAGCTTTACGACCACCTGTTTGACTGTTCCAGCTAAATTCAGTGAACTAAATGATACTCAGTCTTGTGCATCCAGTGATGCACTTTCCCTGACGTAAACAATGTTGAAGTTCTTCCTCCTCATTGAAGCGTTCCGATCGAACACACACCAAAGACACGTTCGTAGCTTAGTGGAGTATGAGTGCATAGCAAGAGTCGTTGCAAGATATGACGACAGACTGTTATCATTGGTTCTCCAGCCGTTAGTTTCTAAGTAGATTTTCTTACAACTCATTGGAATTGTGCGTTAGTACAAGTCCCTCTTTTTCTGCCCAATTGTTTTCGTTTCACGATCACATTGTGTCCGATGGTGAAGTACACAATCAGTGGTGCAAATAATGCTGGTTATATTGTTGCTAATGTAACTGGGGTTAATGATACCGATTAACGGTAGGAAAGGCATCGATCTCAAGGTTCTTCACTACATCGCTCTTATCACTAAATTCACGCCAGCGGCTGACGAGCCTGTTTGTCCGTTCGGGGAAAGGTGCTGGCAATTGACGCTTGGCTTAAAAGACTTGGCTGTGAATTCGTGCATCATTAATCCCTTCCCTCTCCCTACTCCCAGTTATCCACTGATAGCGTACAACATTATGGTGGCAGAATGCTGCCAACAGGTGGTATTCACTTCAGTGTGTCAGCTATGAAGCATGTACCACCGAGCACGAGAAAACTCAGTAGTTAAAGCGCGAACTTACCGGAAACTTTGCATTTCGAATTCAACCTAGATATCTCGACTGTTGCTGTCTAGGCTGGATCATCAAATCATCAAAGACAGCAACATCAGTGTTGGCACTGATGCTTCACTGCCGTACATCTAGGCTGGAGCAGCCTGAGGGTGTCTCAGCCTTCGTGCATAGCAGCCAGGTAATGGGAGGATGTCACCGCTGAAAGAATGGTTGGAAATTGGTTCCAGCTGCTACCGTTTAGGTCATCAGGAGACGGAACAACGTGTGAGATATGGTCAAGCATTGAGGTCAGTGACATGACCGACCGTATTGAGACGGTCTAGTTACTTGAGGGAACGGGAAAATGAACAGCTGCGCAGCGAACGCGATCATGTGGTTGCAAGGAATCCACTGACTTAGTGATTGAGCCAGGTCTGTCAGTGTCACGAACAATTGATGCGTTGAGTCCCAAGGTCCAGCTAGGGGGATGGCATTTGTCAACCCGACTGAGTTTACCGATTATTGCCTTTCTCCATATAGTTGAGGTTTTCCTGTTTGAACAAAATGTTTGTCATCCCAACCAGGGACCGGAAGTGGCGAACTTTATTAGGTTCTTCTCGATCGACTGTGCGATTAGCATTTTTGCACATTCTCGCTTTGTTTTTAGGGCACTGTCGTTTTCCTGACACGCAGGGCCATAAATTGGGTGAAAATATGGGCTGTTTAATGCAACTTAGTTGTGCATGCTTCCACCGTTCTGTTCGGTAACCCCATCTGCCATGGCAGTCATAAGTGAAATGACTTTCTGAACATGGTATTGTGACATTAGGCCGTTTCTTCCCAGAGGGGTTTTTGAGATTATAAGGAGTCGAATAATCTTCGGCCTCCGTCCTTTTTCCTCTGCGGTCTTGCGCGTTTTCACAAGGGTTCAGAACTGGAGCAGGTCGACCAAGGAAAGGTTATTCTGTGGTTTGCTTTATTCCATTGACCGCCATACATATTGAACGGTTAGGTCTGTGAACGTCTTCCGTTTTTCAGTGTGCGTGTATGTAAGATCAAACGTTCCACAAGATCACTGGCGTTCGTACAATAGTTCAAAATTGTTAGCCCAACTGCGATGCACTTAAGGGACTAAATCATACACATGCCTTGACCACACAAAGGGGGGTTGACCTTATGTACATTTACTTTGTTGGTGATAACTTCTGAGAGGTGATAAATCTGAACTCTCTAAATGTCTCGAATCTCCACTGTTAGTGTTCGATAATCGGCAGAGCCATTGGCACAGATGACAACCAAAGTTTCAGAGGGCTACGTTACTCTTGACCCCTCCATCACAATGTGTGTATGCTATTATGTCCACAGGACAGTACCCGGGGGTCACCCACAACACACTTGGTGGTGCCAACGACTGGTCATACGCGTTACGCCGGCTGCATTTGGCTGAAATTCGTGAATGCTGATTTTCCTTCAGCATTGCTCAACCGATTATGCATACGTGCGAATCCCGGACCACCAATTTGTTAAATATTTTTCAACTTCTTTCTGTTTCTTCTATCATCAAACTTGATTTTTGCCTGGTGTAGTGCGCGAAAACCACATCCTAAACTTTGTTATCTTTCTTGCTATGAACAAAGCGGGAGGTCGCTGAGTTATGAGAAGCTCCAGGTAGATCGTGGAGACTTTCGGGAATCATCCCTTTTTCGCTGAACGTATCACAGATTTTTTGGGTCCCTTTGTTGGTGGTTAATAACTGGAAATGACCTCTGTCATGGTGTGAGCTTGACATTTGTGTGCCTGGAATGTGTGTTCTCGTGCGCAATCTGAGTGTGCCTAGGTCAAATGCTGAAGACAGATGATACAGATACATCACAATGACCAAAACAAATGAGTCCATTTGGTGCTATACTAAAGAAGACACGTTGGTCATTCACAAAATGGCTTCTTTTGGTGTTTTGTAGACAGCATACGCCCCCATGTGTCACCTGCTTCATAGCTCACTTCCAGGTGCATTGCATTCAGTGTGCGTAGCTTGGAAGCCCGTCCTATTTGAACGCTTCTGAACAAAGCAGCCGTGTTGCTTATTCCACCCTTGTACCGTCAGCAGTTGTTGACCTCATAGCTGTTCGAGGTCAACGTAAGCTTGTGTATCACTGTGGCGCATCACCCGTAGCCTTTTGATGACTATTCTACTACAGTGAGTCTCCCGTCGGATGCATGTATTCTTTACTGCTTATCACGGTTGACTGATGTGTCTGGGCGTATTGTGACACGCTTGTGCTGTTAACACAGCATCTCTCAATGCACATGAAGCAGGTGCCGGCCATCTTAATGGTACATGTGTGGTCAGTGAGTACGATCATTCGCGTAAATCAGTTCTGACCAAACTGTATTGAATAAAGTATGCTGTTCCGACCGACGTCAGGAGGTCGTTCCTATGTCACACCAAACAGCTTACTTCCTTTATGAATACGATGCGGTGCTCCATGTCCCAGGACTCTAATCTACCCTTAATTACAATTTCGTATACCATAATGTATCGGTTACCCGGTCAACGGAACCTACTCAAAACTCAACTGTTAGGAGGATAGTGGCGTACCTTCTCGAGATGTATGCAATACCTTAATGGCAAACCGACTACTTTGTAGTTCACAGATTTTCGCGCTTTATAAGTCCCATTTAATTGCGTTAGAGACCCAGCTACGGAGCCACAGAATAGTGCTAGGACCAGATCTATGCTAGCTTCATTGGTGCCTAATGAATAATTTTTTGCCAGTTTGTCCGCAAACAACAGCATAGTTAGTAAGTAAAGGCAGGAATTGTTCTGTTGTTCGTCGAATCCCAAATGAAAAAAACACCGGCGTCCTCGCACTCGTTCAGTGTACAACAAACAAGGCACAGCAGCTATCGATTTTCTTCCTTCAGCACTATCCCTTGGGCTTTCAGGAGCGTTTCAGTCGTTGTGTATTCATATCAAATTTGAAGTAAAGTGGACCTATGGCTATCGTCTTGTTGGTGCCCATCTGTACCGCTGACTGGTTTGTTATGAAGGCGGTAGTCCTTGCTAGTAATGATAGTTTCGCAGTTCAATTTGCTGTGTAGAACTACCATGGTAGATCTTTCAGTTTTGTCCGTTACTGTTGGTCGTATACGGTCTTCGTCGATGCATCTGCAGCATTCCTTATCCTGTAAGACCAGTAACTCATGTTACAACATTTTCTAACCACTCCTTTCTTCACCTTTTTACACTACAGGCGAACTTCCACAGACGTTCGAGGCAGTCAAGCAGTTGTTATTCAAAATAGCTGATGATCCACAGTCGTCCAGCTGTCCCAATATATCGTACGCAGAAGTACCCAGACCCGTCGCCAGTGCGTACCCAACGGGGTCACCATACGCTCTGGTCTTGGGCTCCAGTTTTGGCATTAACAACTGTTCCCTACCCAGCGCCGGATCAGATCAACTAATGGCCGGTGGCCAGACAAATCCTGGGTCAACCACTACCGGTTTCCCGCCTGGAAAACTGGGCTCTTTTTCATCAGTCAGTCCTACGGGATCAACCCCAACACCGGCACCAGTATTCGGTAGCAGTCCACCCTCGGCTTTTGCTGCAGCCATGGCAGCCATGAGTGCTGCTTCACCGTTCTCTCCCGGAAACACGGGTGGTCGTGCCACCTCTATTCTCAGCTCTCACACAACGAGTCGTGCCTTGACTGGTCGAGGAGGTGCGACCGGGCACCATTCGAATTCTCATTCACAACCCGTTCACCCCGCATCACAGAGTTTGTTAGGGTCAGTCACTACTCATCTAGGGCCCGGGGGTTCTCCGGCTTACGGTTCCCCAGCATCTGTAAATTCTGGTTCATCGTCTGGCTCCACAATCGGCCTGGAAGTCGTTCGCAATATTCTTCGCTCCGCTGGATACTCGGATGTTGCAACCGAGGAAATTGCAAATGCTATGCATGTCTTGAATCTTTATGGGTTCATTTCCATGTCCAGTCTTACAGGATGTGCTGCGGGTGCTTCTCCACTGTCAAACGCCGTGAATAATGGGCATTTCACAATGGGAACTAGTCCACTGAGCAACTTGGGTGGTTCCCTCTCTGGTTATGTTTCGGGTGGTCCACAATCACCTGGTTTCTCGACTGAAGTTGGCAGTCATTTACGTGGCGTGCGCAATATGGGCTCTGGCAGTGCACCCAGTCAGACGTATCATCAATCGACAAATGCCTATCAACATCACTACTCCTCCCGGTGTTCATCTACAACTACTGTCCAACTCGCGCACCCGCAGGCCAATGCATGTAGTCCCGTTTGTTCGTCGTCGCTCTCCACTTCTCTCGCCAAGGATACAAAATCATTAGACCCACTGATCGGTCTGCCACCGGTCACTTGTGAAAACTCATCCACTGTACAGACTTCCGATTGCGGCGTCGATTTGTACACCTCGCTTCCATCCGGTGAACCCGGTCGAATCTCAAGCCCCACTCGATCACCCATCCTCAATGCGCGTTCGCTATCCCCGAATCTGGTCCCCTCGATTCCAACTGAAACGCCATCAACGACCGAGTCACTCATTGGACATGAATATTTGCATCGAATAAACGACAATGCTCTGTCATTGAAGTTGAAACACGAAGGAAACAGCACTACAGCGAATGGTGGCAACTGCAGTTCCACAACAAACGGAGGCCATATGTGGAGTTTGAGTCGCCAACCTATGTCATCCTCCAAGTCTTCGCCGTCATCGACTTGAGGTTCAACCGCAAGTTGGGGCTAGTCTCAAAACAAACCCATGGATTGTCAGCTTCACTTCATCCTCCCTACTACACTACAAACCCACACTAGGTGTTATAATTCCTCTCAGTCCAACTCTTCATTACGCACTCTCAGTTCAACTACTTTGTCTGCATCAGCCTCTTTCTTTGGACGACATTATGACTGAATGAGTTTTCTGTTTGTCACTCAAGACTACCTATTTTCGCTAGCAAGCAATCACAACCAACTTGTGTGGCTCAGCGACATCTGATTCCCCACTCGCTCATTTGCTCGCCCCTTAGTCGGACTCATCTAACCCTCACACACACACACAGCATGCCGAAATCGTCCGTTTCTTTCTCAGCCTAGTTCGCCTTTCGCGCTCATCACAGTCAATCACATTTATGCTTCGTGGGTCACTCATCGACAAGCGTAATCTCTATTCCTCTGCTCTCTGCACACCTAGTTTGAACTTGCCTGTCCCTTCATGTGTGATCACATCCTTTGCTCTTTCATCTCACCCATTATTCTTTCACCGAAACACCAACTGCCCAACTCATGTGTGTCTTTCGCTTCCAATTTTGGTTATTTTCATCGATTTCACAGCTTCTGTTTTTGCTGCTTTGTTTTGCTGTTTTTATGAAAAGGCGCACTACTAGCCGCCTTGTGCAACCGTTGTGTCGCAGCTCTGTCCACAGTCCAGATGTTCTATTTTGCCCAGCCCCATAGTGCGCCTTAAGCTCGTGCAAATACTTCCCCCGGGTTAGTTTTGTACCGGGATACATCCCATCCTTGCATCGTCATCATCAGACTATGTCTAGTTATTCCAAAACATGTGCAACGTGGTAGAAAACAATATTGTCCATTATTTTGCATGTTTCGAGACTCGAAAGTGCAACAGCCTTTGACGACCGGTCCCACTCCCTACCTACCTAGTTCAACCTACCTGTGATACCCCTATGGGCCGGTTCCGGATAGTTGCTTTTCTCGTCCCACTTTGCTTCCAACCATGATCATTTCCGCCTTGTTTTATCTGCTAAGCACCAATCATTTGTTTTTTTTCGATCGACTCATTCTCCCACACACACACACACAAATTCGACCTTCTACCTTTAATCGCTGACTTACCCCACATGACTTTGCCCTGTTTCCGTCGGTCTCATTTCGTGCGTGTGTGATACGTCTGCATCCTTCATTCTCACTGTTTGTGCGCATATTTTGGCCGTATCTTCACTACTTGAGGTTCCACTCGTCGTTTGCCTCCAACCCCTTCCCGACTTTCCATGTATCCTCGTTCCCGATTTTCCGTTCTGAAATGCCCCATAATCATGTTTACTCAGTGCGTCACCTAAGCTACCGTTCATCTGTGTTCATCTCTCACAATTCACGCGAGATGTTCTACCCAGTAGTCTTTCTCTCAAGTGTTGCTGTGCATTGCACCCATCCTTTATTACCCTTCGCATACTATCACTCACACTGTATCGTCCCGCTTCCATACTATCCCGATCTCCACAGCTATTTGGTCATCCTATTTTTAGATCCACCGCATCCTGCATTACCCATTGTTTCTCACTTTCTTTTGCGTCACTAGTTGCTTTCGTATCGCGTGCGCATCATGAATATGGCATCCTTTGGTCTGTGACTTATTTCTCATGTCCACCAAGCTCCTCGATTTGATTTAGATACGGTGGTTTATGGGTGTGAAAATTGAGTCGGTGCGATGAGCCTTATTTACCCATCAGGCTTGGTAACACTAATAGAAGAAATCGTCCAGCTGTAGCACCCTTTCGGTGCTTAACTGCCATACCACCCGAAGGTTGCACGAGGGCTGGGATACTGCCAGGTTGCCCAAGCCTAGACAAAGGAAGTCAAGAGGCAGAGGTCGGGTTCGAACCACGGGCCTTCCGGTCAGTAAATTCGCGCTCTCACTACTTAGACCATCTCGCCCAAGTTTTTTAACCGGTGACGTGCTGTTGCCCAAGAGGAAGTTTTATCCATTTGTTTGGATCAACTATGGATGGCTTCTGATGGAAATTTAGCTGCAGTCACTCTCAGCTTCGAAGACGGGTCCGAATATAACCGCTCAATCGCGGCTGTGCACATGACTGTGGGCCATGCGTTCGTACTCTAAATCAAAACGACGGTCGGTCATATAACTTGCTACATCAACTCCTCAAGGTTTCATCAAGACGTCACGTCTACATGTTTGTGTTATAGCTTCCTTTGTGTCGTGAGCCTCATCCCCAAAGGACGTGGGATGGGAGACGATGCCATGCATATACAGCTTCGCTCGTTTGGTCGTATCGAAAATACGATAAAAAGCAGGCGAACACGGAACCTTGTCTTCTAGACTGACATTCTTAGGGAGACCCTTTGGATGGAGTCCGGCTGATGAATCCGCAAACATGTGGCCAAAATATTCGTTTATTTACTAGCCGGTGGCAGCTCTGATCAGTCACCGCAGACACGTCTCCACTTGTATACAACTCTGTTTCAGTGTACCTTAGATGTTTGTAGATTGAATTCGTCACATTTTTGTGAAAAACTACCAACGATCAAACTTCGCAACTCCCTGAACCAAAGTATGCCTGTGCGTTAAGTGGTTTAAAAACGAAATAAGTACATGGTATCACTTATTACGAATGACTACATGAAATCGGGTTATTTACCTATATGAACTCACCTCCAGACAAATACCCCACTCAATTCCCTGGTCGCATCGATTTCTTCAAGCGCACGCTACCAATTAAGCTAGTCCTTTAGCTCCCCAACGCACAGTTTTGTCCGATTACTTTCAGTTTGTCCGTGCATTTACATTATTTTGCAAAGTTGTCTTCACAATTAACTGGAGCATGTGTGAGTTTTCGGAATGGACTCATAGAATCCATTGGATGGTGCCAATGAAAAACAGTGTAAATGTGTTTTCAATAACTTCCCTTCGGCTACACCGATCACTCCTCCCAAAACGCGGGCTCCATAGTGTCCTGGTTTCAGTTCAAAGGATACATTTGTAGCTCAATATTTTGGTCTCGTTTTCAGCTTAGTGTAAGCTGCCCAATGAACAGTGTGATTATAGTTGCTCCCCGACCAGTGAATGCCCCAACTTTGGTGCAGCTTATCCGGCTAGATATGCAGTCAAAAACCTTTGACGTGGGACCCCACATTTGGGAGTACTTCATAAGTCCCGCACTAGTCAATCTTTCAATTTCCGCTGAATCCAAACAATAGGCGTCAAACACTGTGAGGCCAGACATCTTTAAGAAGGCACACTGTTTTCCCATTTAGTCCACGTCTTAAATTCACAAATGAAGAAGCTCAGGTTGCCTCACCTGGTAGTCTGGCAAACGTCTGTGAGGGTTCATACCTGGGTAAAAGCCAGTTTTGTAGAGTAGTGGCACCAGAATTTGATTTCGTGGCCGACCATCAGCAACAATGACGCATGTTCATGGGACATCTAATGTACGAATTCATTAGCGAACTTTTCGTTTCTGAGTTAATTGAGGACCTATGCGAGCGGAGCTACGGCCGGATCAGTCAGTTGTCTGGAAAACAAATCAGTCCTTCCTTTTACGTATGGTTAGAAAAATCCTAACCTAATGAAGCCGGCGAGTTGGTATGCCTAATGGTTTCACTCAGCGCTGAATTTACAAGCGTAGTCCATCCGGATAAAAAAACACGAGGAGCATTCATGAGATGAATAAGAGGTTCAAAGTTTACCCAAACCAAAGCAAATAGCCAGGGGTTTCGATGTCACGAGTAAGGGAGTCTCTGTTATGCTCTCACGATACCCTGATTTGATCTGATCGGATTGACTCAGTGTGTGTGGTGATTGTGGAAACAGCTGGTGATTACCATGTCGACAATTTGAGCACTCAACTGGATGAAGCTGAACCGGTGCCTTCAACAATCACCTTCGCGAAAAGCATGTCGTACTAGCTGTTCATCCTCCCCCACTCCATTATTGTGTTTTTGCAATTCTGGCCAAAATCGGCATTATGCGATGAGGTAGTCTGCGCTAACACTTCAAAGGGTTTCCAAAAGCAGAATTCGACTTCGAAGTCTAAAACACTTATTCATAGAAGGGTCATCCATGGGAATGACAACTGCTCTGTCACACAGGTAGTTCTTCAATTGTAGGACTTGGATCCCTTGATCACCAATGAACCGAAAGGATCGCCAAAGTACCTGGGTTCGGTTGCTTCATTAGCAAATCATTCTTGGGCTCTAAAAACCTTGTTTTAAAGGCTTCAGTCTCAATTAGCTCATCAAACGGGTTTAAGTGTGACAGAATTGTGGATCTTGCGCGACAAGGTGGTTTCTGTCAGCGGCATTCGTGCGTATCCAAATTGCTGGTAGCCAGGGCTGATATAATAAAAAAGGCGGATGCCGAGACAGCAGTTATGTAGACTCTCCATTATGCTTTCCAGACCAGACACGACTGATTGGGTCGTTATTAGAAAGTCACAGGCTTTCTGTGAAAGAACTCGAAATTCATTCGCCAACAAACTGTCAAGACAACCTCAATGATTGAAATGTACCACAGGTGGTCGTCCCCGGGTATCCGGCCATTTTTAACCTTCCCACTGACGACCTGATCTCAAAGTTCAGTGTGAAGTCTTTATTTTTTCTTGATATTTCAAAGATTTGGACGACAAGAGCTCTCCTATGGAAGACAGCCACATCTTCTAGGCAGCTGTGAGTGTTGCATAACATTTTTCTTCGAAGCCTACCGCCTCCAGTATGTGCAGTGATGTCGTTTGACCGTCTTGAAACGTATTTTCGAGTCCCGGAAACTTAGACTTCACACATTTCCAAAGAAAGTGGCCTCAGTCCTCTTACACAGATGGTTCTGAGTTGTTCAGCCCAGTGAACGGAGGCCTCCACATATAGGAAACTCATTTTGGGTTTCTTGGTCGAGCAGTTGAAAAACTTGGGCGAGCTATTTCCCCTCAACTTTTACATGCAGACGCCCGTTCGCACAGCAAGTATGTCATCCAAGTTTGTCAACCTTGTTTAAAAACGCGGTCAAGCATCATTCAACCTGAACTCAAGATACATGTTGATTAATCACATGCATTTTTGAACGTCTATAGTTAAGCAAAAGCGAGGTTCAACTGTCAGTGAGAGTGTTGTAATCCCTCTTCAGAATGTGAAAATCCAACGCAGTTGTCCTCAAACAAAAATATACATAAATTGGAATCGTGCGAGGGAGCCAAAGCTAGCAAAAGGCGTTAGGTGTTTGATGACCCTTAATGAACCCCGCAGATAGTATCGGTGACTCCGAAACGCACATTGTTGTCTACCCTGAAGGAGCAAAGTCATTCCCGTCAAAGTATCCTAAGGCCTTCGCATTTTCAAGATCACTATCTGAAGTTGGGACTAAACAATCAAAAAATTATTGATTTCAACTGTATCAGTCTTGGATTGCCCTTCCCTCAGACAGCGATCCTCATCAGAAACCCTCGAGAGGTCATAAACACTGTATTTTCCAAAAATTAGGCCCAGTCCGTCAGCATGAGAATTTTTTTAACGGTGCAGTTTTTCAAGTGGACCACTATTGTGACCTACAAAAACCTCGAGGCCAGGAGTATCCAAAGTAAAACCCAGTGTAATGGAGATCTGTTTCGGGAAGTTTAGTCTTTTATGATTACATTGCCTTAGCCATCCCTGGGCTATAGACACCGATTTCTGACACATGCATTGACAACTTGCGACGCCCATTGTCATGGTTACACGAACATTCGGACGTGTACATATTTCGAACCCTGAAGCGCTCGCAACTTGTTGCTACGACGACAACGAATGACCTGTAACCTACCCGTGTGACTCATCATCTACGGTAATTGCGAAAGGGCCTGCTATTTGTATAAGCGCAGGTCCAACGCTATCCCTCGAAAGATTATATCGGTTCATTTGGTTTACGTCACTTCTCTGGAACAGGAAGATTAACATTGGTATAAATTCAACGACTGATAGTGGTTCACCTAGTTAGTCCTATTTCTCGGTATCTGAATCGTGAGGTGACCTCCACTGGTAGTGTACCACGGCACAACCAAGACGTCAGAAGCCATGAGAGACACTTGAATGTGTTCAGCTGCATTTGTTCTGCTGATGAATCAGTAACTGTCGGCCAACAAATTAGCTACACCTGTGACAGGTTGTTTCCCCATTAGTGTGAACAGGCCATAAAATATCCCCTTCTCTGTTGTTGCTTGATATAAGAATTCCTGGCTCTGGAATTATGCTTATCTGGAAGGCCCACGGCTAAACGGGGAAGTTCACTCAGAGGTAAATGTAGAACAAATGCATCGAAACTTTGCTGGATGCTATTATCATCATGAACTGCCCAAAGAACACTGTAGGAGTGTTGTTACTTGCTACTGCACCTTCTGCCTGGCGCTGGTGTTCACTATCAGTTATCCGGCTAAGGTCTTTGTGTGGGTGAACTGAGCTCACTGAAACTGAACAACCTGTTCGGTTGGTGCCGGCATCCGAACGATGTGAAATCGGAGCTCGTCATGATTCTCCCCGTTTACTTTGAAGCAAGGCGTGCTATCTGCAACGCAGTCCATTTTCGAGTAAACGTCACTTCGATCAATACACTCATTTGCAAATCAATTTGGTTTTCACCAGAGATTTAACTGAATCTCTCGTTTATGATATTCTACAACTGAATGTGCTGCACACAGGCCGCTTCATGTTTCAGTAGGAACGATATTCGAAATATTGCAGTATATTTTCATAAATGAAACTACTCACAAGGTTGCTGAAAACTCTTCGACAGTTGAGTCTCTCGGGAAAACCAGATTGATTTGCAAATGAGTGTATTTCTCAAAAACAGTCCAATTTGGGTTCAAGTAGAACATAAGGTTGACGGAAACTCGGATGACTGCCCCCACCTAATGAGCTCCAAGAAGGGCGAAACCGGTCGTGGGCTGTCGAGGAGTTTTCAGCAACCTTGTGAGTAGTTTCCTTTATGATTAACGCGGCCCGCAAAACTAGCTCAGATTCAATTCCCTCGTTTAGTTAATATTCATTGCTAGTTGGTACTAGACTTGTTGAAAAATAGCACTGTTATGCTCTGTCGATGTTGGCCATGCTTAGGTAGATTGGTACACTTGAACAATCCAGCGTTACGAAGTGTCCTCTGTGGTTGGCATTCAATGGTGAAAAACTGGGACCGAATGGACTGATTTATTTATCACTTCATATGAATAGAAACCTCCGTGTACGTGCTTTATTGCTTCGCACACATATTTGGAGATATTTTACGTCTTATGGTCTCACAGTTCTAACAGTAGACACTTGTCGGAAGCTCATCATGGTCACATGCGATTCAACAATGTCAACAATCTATCCCGAGATACTTACTTGATTATGTAAGACCCCCTTAAAAAGTATCCCATTCCTGGCTGTGGTCCCCAAACGAATGTGGGTACTCGAAACACAAATATGTTTTGTAGCTCTACTCAAAGTTATTATGTCCATTTGACATCCTAATTCAATCGGTAGAATGTCAGCAAACAGTGAACTCAAGCTGCCTTTGGCTTCTCGAAATACGCCAACGAACAGCATAGGAACCACTTTCTGTTTTTGTGTGACATTTAAGAAACTATCGACTGCCGGGAGTAAGTATATAGGAGCGAATCAATCTGCCTCATACCGAGAGTTGCTGCTGTGTTGTAGCCAGCCTATGTTAGTTCATCCTGTCGGTACTGCGAACTCCTAATTAGCGCAGGTCACATAACATCTGAGAGCAGTCACTAACCTGGACGATCCACAGTCCAGATCGATGAAGCGACATTTTTCATGTTTTTCTGTATCCATAAGCACTAGTGTGTCATACCAAAAATTGGTCTTTTTTAGCCTTACGGGGAGTCTGGAACAATGGACCATTGGAGCACTCGTTTGTACCTCTTGCTCATCAGTATCTATCCTCCAAGTTAGGTGCTACTGACCTTTGTCTAACTTTAAACTAGCCACTTCAAAGACGCAGTCAGTGTGATTACGCCTCCAACCGCTAGATTCATCAGATGTGGTATACATTGCTTTATGTCACGCAGCCTGCCCGCTCTTCTCATTTCACACCCCGATAACGTACTTTTAGCGATTTCTCATGATTCTGTGTTGGGTCAAGATAAAATCAATAGGATATTTTAAACCAGATACTGGCGATTTCGCATGCTCCTGAAGGACGGAACTTCTCACTCAGTCACTTGGTGGTCAATCACGGTTGGTCGACCGTGTTGTAAAACGACGTAACCATCGCGTCTTCCAAATGAATTTTGCTTTTTTCAACACGTGTCGAGCTCAGGAATCTGACCATTAGTGGATAGTCATGTATTTCCTAGTTTTTCAATATCTTCCTGTAGTTTGATAGCTTCCAACCATTAGACAGAAGTCGTCCAGCCTGGGAAACCAATTCGCTCTGCGCTTTACTCCCGAGAAATAGCGGATTTCCTGAAAGTTATCGAGCTGTCTGCGTAAATAAGCAAAATCCGTTTGCATTCATCCACTCCATGCGCACATTTCATTTGGACTAATGACTGCGTCCCAGTATAAATGGTAATAACGTGCTCTATGGACCTCGTGTGCTGTGTTCGTTCCTAGGATAGACAGGTTACTAGTTTTGTCATTAATTCTTCTACCTGGTGCATCGCTTCATGCTTGACACAATATATGGCGTACTAGTCACTAATAATCCGATGGCCACTAGTGCATCAGTGTCATTCATGCAGAATTAGGATTATTACCGACCTTTTTACAAGCATTTAGGTCATTACCGAGAAAAGATTCAGCATAAAGACGTTCGGTCCAGCTATTCAGGCTGTTACAGTAATTATGGTTCTTCGAAGTGATTTGCTTAGTTCTTGGTAAGGGAATGAAACACGATGGCGCCGCCCATGTTGACTTCGATGTAAAGTAACGATCGTGTTTTCGTCCTCCTTCGCCCAAGTCTTTAACGGTTTGTTCGGCCAATATACAATCCGTTGAGATTATGACACTTCAGCCTATAGATATATTCCATAGTGTTCTTTTTGGGTGTCAGGTCCTTATATCTGACCAGATGAAGTGTCCAGCGTTATCCACTTTAAAATACACTTCTACTGTGTGTGGGTTCAAGTCTTTTTCTACACTTCTCAAATTTACTGTTCCATTGGGTAGCATATTTGTGGTTTATTGTGACGGTCGTGAGGAAGGGTTTTCCAGGACACTGCACAAACCCCGTGTGATATCTACAGTTTTGCAACACTACCTTGGGTTGATTCAGTTCCTCGTCCATGGTCTTTGCGTTGGTACATAGCTGTGTTAGTATGCAGAAAAGAAACACCAAGTGATTAAGTTTCGTCTTAAACAGTCTATGAAAATGCAATCTAGGGGTGGAATGAACTCTCATAGTAACGCCATAACCACCCATTTTGAAGGTAGTAGTCTACTGACAAGACACAGGACATTCCGTTCTCTCTGGGGCACTTCAGAGAACCTTTTATTCCCATTTTTGGATGGGAATTTTGCGGTTATTCTTTCATGGTTGTTGAAACCACTATGTGGTTGACAGAACTTTGATATTTTGACATTCCTTCGACTTTTTGTGAGAGGGGAGCAAATTCGCATGAAACGCAACAATCACGGTTACTGCCTTCGGACATTCATATTTGGCCGCCAATTTGTCACCGAAAATCCTAGTTATTTATGAGCTCAGAACAAGAGCAATTGATGAAAACGTTGGGCAACAGCTACGGCCTCTTTGCCACCCATATAAGTGATGAAGGCAATGATGACCGTCTGCTCTGTTCACGGTTTTATACCAGGATTTAATTTATGCTAGGGGAAGAAAGCGGTCTACCGTTTGTGATACCAGTTCTGCAAACCAGGAACTCAAAATATCGCACCAAGGAAACGCATAGTGTTAAATACCCTAAAATAAGTGGGCAATATGATTACAAAAGCGGATAAGGGTAATGTACCACTGTCATGAACAAGGGTGACTTTATACAGAAGGCCAAACAACACCAAAGTGAGGTTCCTTACTGGTAGATCGATAATGGGAATATTACTTTCATACTTAACAGGAAGTTGGTAGGTGTATCCGGTCCGTGATACACCACTGAGGGAAAGGTATGTGGTATCGATTATACCTCCGAAGTGCAATTTAACCACGGTTTTATGGCCTACCAAAGATCCATAAAGCAAATGTCCCTGTAAGACTGACGAAATAGATCCCACACCCCATGTGTGATCAGATTTTTGGTCAGATTTACGTCTTATATTTATGTATATTTTTACAAATCTTTTATTTATATTATGTATATATATATATATTTAGAATTCACATGACTTTGCCAACAAAGCGGTGGATTTCACCGTGGAACCAGATTGTACTCTTGTAAGTTCGTTATCTACAAAGTGCCTAAAGGGGACTTAGAAATATTCAATCAAAGGTACTAGGAGACACCACCCTTTCAGAAAGGACACAGCTTACGTTAGATGGAATAGTGGAGCATCAAACTCAACAGGTGCATTGCGACACCCAAGTATTTATGGTTTCCCAGACTTCCCAGATGCTCTAGATCAGTGGAACCTTGTTTCACATAACTTGGAACTGAACAATGGAAGATAACTTAGGGATATGAGGAAACAAGCAGACCGTATCAGGCTACTGAACTTTTGTTATTTCAGTATGATCAAAAGTTCAACACTGGCTTGTGCTGAACCATGAATCACGTGCTGCTGATCCGTGTGAATAACTGTACCCGTTCCCATGCACTCATACCCTAATCACCAATGCAAGGTGAATGTGTTTTCCTAAAGTGTGATGATAAACCTATTGTGAAAGGCTACGCATTCTACAAACTTGCCAACTAAAATACTATTTGATAAAGCCCGAGAGAGTGCAACCAACAGACATGACTAATGCATCCAAAACAAACGTTTCGAGGTAGCACTGCAACAGGAGTACTCATAGGTCCACCAATGGACTGTTTGGCCGACTGCAGGAACAGCAAAATACACCATAAGCCGAACTCAATTTGGTATGCACGCACACATATGTTTTCACGTGGTACTTCAAATGGTCTTCTACACAAATCTTCATAATGTTTACAGGCGCATAATCTCCAAATCTGTGTGCACCAACAAGAACACTGGTCCACAATTTACAGCAGTGTTATGTGCACTCACCCCCGCTTCATCCATAGTCATGAACATCCTAATAAGCGGTTGGTCTATAGAATGTCTTATCATGGCAACGGATATGGTGTTTTGATAAATAAGACTACTGAGTTGGGTTTTGAAAGGCTTAAGACAGATTTCGAAATCAGCTTAATGCCGGAGCAACGTCCCTAATGGCAAAAATACATCTGCTGACGTGAGAAAAGACCGAGGAGCAATAAGTTCATCACAGAATTGGCCTACACACTGTCAAGTCAATCCATCCATCCATCCATCCATCCATCAATACAATCAATCATCAATCAATCAATCAGTCAATCCATGGTAACCTGAAAGTTAGTCTGAGTGAGCTCAGAGTGCAGCAAACCGCCCTGTTTGGTTTCAACTTACTGGTTACTTACAATATACAACACGAGCCGGCTGATACCAGTTTCAAGCAGTACACAGTAAAGACTTGTGGTCCCGCGTGTGAAGACTGTGGCAAGTGCTGCTGCAAATCGAAACCTAGCTTCATACCTCTCATCAAGCTCTCATCCATAAAAGTGTTGGCATGAACGTGGTCTCCACGCGGACTTGCACTGACTGATTTCGCTTGTCTAAATCAACACCACGGACGCGCACACCCAATCAAACATGATCCACATGAGCTTGGCTAAGTGAAGACTTCTGGTGCTCTCGGGTTCCAACATAAAGTACAGTCACTCTTGCGCCTGGGTGACAAGTTACATCAGAATTCATGCAATATGCAGTATAACGTGTACAATATACAAGTTGGTTCCGCTGTAGCACCATTTCAGTGGCTAGCTACCATTCCACCCGAAGGAAGTAGGAAGGCCAGAATACTGCCAGGTTGTCCAAGTCCAGACAGGAGCAGTCGAGATGCAGAGATTGGGTCATAACCACTGAGCAGTCTCGAGCTCAAGTTGCCTAATATACGAAACGCTGTTTTAAGAAGCACCAAGCACAATATCCGGGAAGGTGAAATTTCATGCGATTCGTCACAAATAAGTGGCGAGAATCGCCATCTTAATAACCGTAGACTGATGGTCGAAGAAACCACCTTCCCAGGGAATGCAACGAATGTTACTGATTACAACGCAGTACACCGTTTAGTAAACCTCACATAATCTCAAATTAAGCACATGCCTTGGCTGAATGATAGTAGATCTCAGGTTCGAAATGCGTCACACTGTGATTGAACTCATCTTACAAGACGTTTCCAATCAGATGTGCATGTATATCGTCTTGTCCTTATTCTGAAAGTTTATAGATCCCAGGCACCTATCTGGAAGGAGGAAGATATTTGACATTCAGTTATATGAATTGACCAGCTGACTTCCCTCCAAAATACAGAAAACGATATCTTCCATTTGCGAAAATGAAGGGGGCGAGATGGCTCGGTGGTCAGAACGCGAATTTACTGACCGGAAGGTCCGTGGTTTGAACCCAACCTCTGCCTCTCCATTTACTCTGTCTAGGCTTGGGCAACCTGGCAGTATCCCAGCCCTCGTTCTTCCTTTGGATGACATGGAAGCTAGGCGCCAACAAAACGAGCTCAATGACTGAGGTCTCAATTTTCTTTTTGTACGCTATGTCACCAGTACATTTATCTGGAGGTACAAGCCAGAGTCAACCTTCCTCACTACTCATGGTCAGATTTTCGCATCAGAATTTTCAATTTTTTTTAATCATGGCTCATTTGTATATGACTAATGCATCATCAAACCAAGGTTCATGTCTTATTTCTTCGGCGTTTCATATATTGTGCGTGCAACAGCCATCGCTGTACGCGCAATATACCAACATTTAAACCAAGGAGTTACTGTAGCCTTGACACACCCGTCAATTAGCCCGCAAGGCTCCTCTTATAGCCCTTCGGAAATCTTGCTTCCAGTCCCGCCCTCCCTTCCCGGCCTATATTGGGTTGGATCGGTTGGAAATCGATAGGCTCTTTTGGCTTATGTTCGCATTTTCCAAGTAGTATTGCGGTTACTCAGTCTTGAGTCTTTGTGGAGCAGTATCTGACTATCTCCAAGATCAATCAGCACCGATCCGCATGCGGCACACCAGTTTTGCCAGTTAAGTGGTCGATAATGTCGCTTTTAATTCAAGGGCTTGGATAAATTAGTTAACGCTCACTTGTAACCTGCTGGCCGATACAGAACATTCTGTACCTCGCCCACTAGCTTGACTGGATGCCGAAGAGGTGTAATCTCGTCATGATTAATAAAGAAACCAGTATGCTAACCGGGCAATTTTCGGTTGCCTAGCGTGACGATGCTAACAGCACTCCGGACCTTTCAAGCACGTTGGTCATGATAATTTTAGCTGACAGAGAGTTCAAAGCTTAATATGTGTTCTGCACAGAAGTGGATTCAGCCATCATTGCACCGAATTTTACTAAAGCGAGTTATCAGGAAGGTCAGATTCCTGAAAGTGACTACTGAATGCCCGAAGTCTACTGAGACTCTCAGCTCCGCTAGATGCTGACCAAACAGACAACGCCCCTTCAATAGGCATCGCGTCACAGACTTGTTTCAAACCAAGACAGAGCGAGTCAGCGTTGATCAAGGTCAGACAATGCTCCCGTAATATGCAGCGCGTCATAGCCTCGTAGTAAAGCCACACTGCGTGCGTCAGCATCGGACTAAGTGTCCCTCCAATAAATAGCTTGAGACCGTTGTATTCTCGCACTCACACGCTCTCACGCTCTCGCACTCACTTGTTCGGAATATAGCTGTTGTGTTCCGTTCTGTCAGTCTTTTTTCTGGCACTAGGCACTAGAGCAGGTCAACAGTCAGATACAACAGATTGGCAAATCAGCTGAGATAACATAAGTATTAAAACACCCGAGAAATCTGAAAGCGGTTTTATCGGTAGTGATCGATTGCAGCTGATTGTCCGGCACAATTACAGGGAGTGGTTATATCCGGTCCATTGCAAATAAAGGCTTAAAAACATCATTAACGAAAGATTCAGCTGAGTTGCAGGTGAGTCTCTCGCAAAATCAAATTTGTTTGCCAATGAATATATTTCGCAAGAAGGGATACTATTCGCTGTGGTCGTGGGATTCGTTTAGCTTGACGGGTCGAGGCTGTCATGAAAATTGCTTAGTGCTAAAACACCGAAACAAAACGTCCCTGTGCACCTTAAAGTATGCGAGAAAGTGAGTACTATCCAGGGTTCGTTTATGGAATCCAGATACCTCAAAAGCTTCGTCAGCAGGGGTGAGATGGCCCAAGTGGTTAGAGAGCGAATTTACTGACCGGAAGGTCTGTGGTTCGAATCCGACTTCCGCCTCTCAACTTCCTCTGTCTAGGCTTGGGCGACCTGGCAGTATCCCAGTCCTCGTGCCTCCTTCGTGTGGCATGGCAGCTAGGCACCGAAAGGGTGCTACAGCTGGATGATTTTTTTTAAATTTTATCGTCAGCATTTGGGAACGCGCATCACGGGAGAGCCAAGGATGTACTACGAAATTTAGCCACACGCAGAAAATTTGGGTGCGTTGTCACATTTCCAAATGGGATGAGAATTTATCCCACACACACTGTTCAGTCATTGGATAAAAAGAACTCCAAACCCCCGCTTCATTTGGCTTACAAGCACCAGGCGAGAACACCACTTGACATAGCCACGGAAACCGGAACAGTCAAGCATTTTTCGCAACACCAGAGAAGCAGTTGGAAATCCAAACCAGAGTGATTACACAGAAAACACAAACCAATCAGGAGACGAGACGATGCGTCTGAAGACCGAATGGTGTGCAAAGCCGACATTTTGAGACAGACCAAAAACCATAACGGACCTGTAGTCGCCGGCCAAGGGACAAAACACTTTCGCACAAAATGGGTGCATTTATGGTGTTGAGCGGAAAGGGCACGAGCTTCAAACTGAACCAGGGATCGGGAAAACTATCAGTCCATGGCGAGAGCCTGACATTACTCTCAAAAAGAATTCGGAGAAGCGGTGAATTTGGCAAGGTCGAAGTCACACGAAGTAGCCTGTACAAGAGAGCAGGCGAAAGCCATTGGTTTCAGACAAACCGGTCTACCTTGCTTCAGAGGTCTTGCCGCAAAGATACACGATCCAGCCATGGAGTTGTGCAAATGCCTAATGTCTGGAGCAGTCGAGAATACATGCATCAACCGAAGCCTGGTGTTGCAATGAGCAGCAGGACCCAAAGACAAGTCTAACGCCCGATAGATGCATTACACCCAAAGGACGGTAGATGCATACTGTACACGCTGAGCTAACTAGTGTTATATGGGTAGGGATTCCATTCATATGTAAATCGATCCCTCGATTGTCATAAACAGCTTTCCTGGCAGTCACTCTTCTCGACAGAGTATCACTTGAACTGGGAAAAGGTTTTGATAAAAGTGTGCCATTATTCTGACCTGGTCCCTGTTGCAGGAATGACTAACATATTGACGTTGAAGTCAGTACGCTTAATGAAATAGGTGCTCAAAAATATTTTCTCAAAGGTGGGCTTTTGAATCAAAATACACGACACTGAAATTTGATGTACGGAAATACCAGTAGAATGGGGAGGATGAATTACTCAGGTGGTGATTCTGTTAGCTGCAAGAGGTTCTGACGTTTTTCAGGGTGCATCTTGGGCGTGCTATTCATACTGGAAAGCTTGCGCAAGAAATATGGCGTAACTTCAAGAACACTTCGTTTTCTCGAGAGAGCCTTTCCCATGAATGGTAGCGACCTTCACATCGTGCTTTGTTACCGCATGTGGTTTGATAGTCTTGCCTTTTCGGATGACCATGAAGGACTGCTAAGTTTCGTCACTTTCGCATTTAGCAGTTGACATCATTTACTGATTTTTTTAAAAAGAGCAAAACCAGAATGCATTCATTTCTTGACAGGATTTCCAGCATGAACTCAGGTTTTGTCTTGAGAGCTAATTATCCCCAAACAGTCGCTTGGTCTGCTAGATTATCTGTTTGACTATCACCTGCTGGTGGTGATTCAAAAGCGTAAAACATAACGAAGCATATACAAACCAGGCTGGTTTCAGCTAATCTAGTATTTTGGATGTCCAGTCGATCATTGTACTGAACTACAATTTTAAATCCCGATGTTTGATAACTTTCGGTTAACGATCTACCGCTGCTACACCATGAGTTATCCTCCGTGTAGCAGGACGGAAGTCGCTGATACCCAAACAAGCACGGAAGATCCCTTTAAAAATTAACCCAGTTTACCCAGTGGTTGTTTGTTTGTTTGTTGCAAGTCGGTTGATTCATATCAGGAAGGGATCTCCTTTTTCCAGAAGAACCCAACTAGCGCCAGTACAGCAGGTAAGTTCCCTTCAAATTGCAACATTCTCCTACTGGAGCATGGATAAGGCAGTCTGAAACAAAAATTACTCCGAAGGTTGAGCACATTATAACTTATAATGGGAAGAAGTTTCAATCGGGCGTTTTAATTCTCGTTTTAACTGCGCGAACCCTTAGGAAAGTTACGCGTGTTAACTGAATGGCCTACTATTTACTCAAAACACAGTATTTGGATTGAAATTGTTCCTTATAACACTAACAACTCTGTCAAATGAATATCCATTGGTTTCGAAGGTGAGTAAGTTCCACTTAGGCTACAGCTAGTGTCAGACGGACAGTTTGCAGTACTCTAATCTGTCACGTACAATTGTCACTCCCCGCATAGAGACTTTTTAAGCTCTGAGGTGCGCTGTCGCTTGATGTAATATCCAGTTCTTTCAAAGTTACATCATCGATCTGAACTCCGGACTGCCTGCAATTACACAGGATTGAGGCCCATTTCCAGTCATCCACCAGTGAGCCATTTTGGACCCTGGTACCATTTTTTCAGCAAAAATACAACGCGTAACAGTACAACACCCCTAGATAATCAATCGTTTTAGTCAGCCAGACACCATTCTTCATGTACGATCATGTTGTTCACATCGCACATCTGAGGTGAAGTTTATTCTATCTAGGCAGGTAAGTAAGTACAAACTGATAACAGGTGAAAAAATTTGAACCACCTGATTGGGTGACCTTATTTTGAAAAGTAGTACAGATACTCACTCAGGTGTGCTATTTTTATCATCGGTTCAAAACACTTTTAGTACATACGTACTTATTAACGTAGAGATCAGGAAAGATCTTCTTTGAAATACACAGGCCTGTGTATATATTCCGTATCGTGGTAGCATTCAACTTTGTTTACAGAAACGAAATTTTTCCGGACATAGCTTAGCTTTCGCCTTTAGAGAGCGTCTAGTTCATGTTATCATCAATTTAAGCCAACCACACCTGTTCAGTGGGCCATTGATAGCCTGAAGGTACGAATATTGTAGCTTAAGCTGATTGATTCAGATCTGTACGAAATAGGACTGGTTTATACGCGCTTTTTTGCTGGAACTTTTCGACATTACGGAGATATCAGCCGTGCATCAAGACAAGCTGGAACCAGTCACCTGCGACTTCATGCTTGTTGTTGCTTCCGTCCAAAAGGTAAAGATTATGTCCACAATTATTCCTCAGTTTATCTTCCTACCTGGTTTCCTTTGAAACACGAAGGCCTTGGGTCAAGCTTGTGTGGCTCACCTTCAGCCTACGAATATTATGTTGCCTAAGGCAGTAATTTTTCACGGCTGTCCCGGGGTCATCTTACAGTCGGACTCTGCCGCTGAATTCCACATCTTCAGCGACCTCAATGCAAATAATTCTGATCGGATTTCCAACTGGATGAACATCAACGCAGTGACATTCTCCGTGATCCGGACGATGACGAGAAAGCTAAACCAACCTCCAATACATTTTTAGGTATCCGTTACAATTTCTACATCATCATGCCAGCTGCCCCGCTGGGCTCGTCTACTCGCTATACACTATTCTTCATCTCGTTGTGTCTTCCGGAACTACCGTTAAGCAGGATGAGTCAGATATTTGGTTCTTTCCCCGAGAGGGCTGCGTTTCTTGTGGAGCCTCAACTTCTTCCGAGAAAATCAATTTCCTCTTTGATGTAGTGCTCAATCCAGCTCATTTTCTCTAAAATCTCGGCAAATCTTCATCCCGAAATCAGTTTAATCATTCAACTGGAACAGTTTAGAACCGATTGAGAAGGCATCGTTTCAGAAGGGCTTGTTAAATAATCGGTAGTTTTACAACTGACAACTTTTCGTTTTCGACACAATTTACGTCAGACCAAGTGAGAAGGTTAAAAAGTTGGCCATGTTTTAAGGCAGATAGAGAACTAACCAGCAAAACTTTTGCGACTAGCACACTAGATCAGTGACGAATTTCACTTAAAAGGTCTTGTCGGTCAGTATGGTTACCTAAATCTTGTGTTTGATGGGTTGGGCGGAGTTCAAATCAGTTCGATCAGGTTTGCTTTCTTAATCTTCCGGTTCAGAATGCTTCAGTCGGTCATTCGTCATGGTAAATTTTGTGGATCTTCGTGGGTTTGTAAGTGCTGCTAACTTTTCACTGGGATGAGCAAGATTGTGAGTGAGTTTTGGTCAGTTTGGTCTATCTAGGTTGATCTGGTTGAGATCTGGGTTACTTATGCTGATGACTCCTGTTTGTGTTAACCACCACGTGTCAGCTCGACTGATTCCCACATACTGGTTAGTTCTACGCCTTCTATCCTATTTACACGGGGACGGTTGGCAATTGTCACTGCCTTACTGATCAGTCTCTATGGCGTGAACGTGGTCCCCGCCTCAAAACATCAACATTTTCTGAATCTATTTTGCGTCCCTCATCTAATGCATGACCCATCGTTACTGAGTCATATAGTGACGCACGACATTCATCTGCGCTTGTCAGCGGCCTATTTATTTTTCTCTTGTGTTGTCCGCTACTGGTATGAGGTTTTCCGGCCGTCTGCCCTAAATAGACATCAGTGCAGTTGTTGCATTTAACTTTCCAGACACAATCCCTGGTTCTGTTTGCCGAGAGGCAATCCTTCAGTCACACCATTTTCCCTCCTGAAAAGCTACTCTTGTGCTAGCCGTGTTTAGAACCCTTCGAGTAGCTTCGGATGTCCCTGGTTTATATGGAAAATCAGCAGTTCCCTGTCGGGTTTTGTGATGGGTTGCAATAACCTTCGTAATTGACGCTTACTCAAACTAGCTGAATATCTGCTGCTCAGAAGTTTGCTGCCCACTTCAATCTAGGCTGCTGTCCGGTCAACTTCTGTGCACGCGGCTATTACTCCGCTAAAGATTGATGGGGCAATACTAGCGAATACCGACTTCGGGTGGGCAGACAAGCAGTTCAAAATCGCCTCAATGTCAATTGGCTTTTCATACCCTGTGGTTTGTAGTTTACCCCTGGCCTAATGTGCCATGCAGCCTAAGGAGGGCAGTGTACCCTGCCTCTATACTGAATTTGATGTGTGGACTTAGTTACAAAACACACTAACCATGCCTAGTTTCCCCCCGACGAAAGTGTCATCTACATAGCGCGGGAATATCCTGAGTGGGTACCGTGATCCGGCTAAAGCTCTTTGTTCAAAATCTTCCATAGAAATATTTGCCAAAATAGGGGATATTGGAGATCCCATTGCTATACCTTGTTGAGTTTAAACCAGTGAATCAGAGGCGAACTGACTGAGGCCCAGACATGCCCTTATGACTTCCACTATTTCGTCTACTGTAAACTTGTTTCGTTCTGAAAAGGTGGTGTCTGATAGTACCAGTATATAATTTCCAACTTACAGACGTTTGTGAAATTCTTTATTTCATATCTTGACATATTTGCCAAATAGGGGATATTGGAGATCCCATTGCTATACCTTGTTGAGTTTAAACCAGTGAATCAGAGGCGAACTGACTGAGGCCCAGACATGCCCTTATGACTTCCACTATTTCGTCTACTGTAAACTTGTTTCGTTCTGAAAAGGTGGTGTCTGATAGTACCAGTATATAATTTCCAACTTACAGACGTTTGTGAAATTCTTTATTTCATATCTTGACACCACCTTCAAGTCAAAATCGTTTATTTCTTGCGCAAGCATACATGTCCCACTAGTTATGCACCAATTTTTCAACTTTTAGAACGTTTTTGTCCCATCCAAACTACGAATCTCTTGGCTTCGTACGGTAGATCCATTCGTGAAGACGAGCCATTAAAAATGCACCTTTTCCGGCCGTTTGGCTGTCACTTTTGACGATTGTTCGAGTTTTCTGGTAACCGCCGAAGAGGCGCCTGGTTCGTCCGCACGGTTCGAGTGTATGTACTACTATCGTACCCCCGGAGTGTGAGTATAGTCAAAGCCTGGAAGAACTCGCACAGCTAAAAGAACAACCGAAGGAAAAAATGTCCTCTCTTTGCAACACAACAGCTGCCTTGGAAAACTTCGACTGCGTTGGCCTGATATGCAGGCCACTATCGACATCTTTTCGCCTTGGTGAGTTTACGGTGTTACTGAAAACAAGTAGCTCGTGGCAGAATAATTGCTTTTAGACCAAGAACTTGCCTAACTCGTAGGACACACACGAAACAATGGAGAGTGGTTGAACTTACGAGAAATCGACTCACAAATGTGCAAGACTGGGGACAATAGCCACAGTCATGACTTGCGCGTCGGGAAACACACGGGCGAAAGTTAGACGGCATGAGGTCGTTCTTTGAGCCCGACGTTCACTGTCGGAATTGATTACAAGTGGCCTAAAGGCTGGATCTTCTGAGCGATATGGGTCTGTTCAACGACAGCTGGAGCCAGGCGCATTTATCAAACATCGGGCACCTGACGAGTTTGTAGCCACTTCGCTCGAGTTACAAACTGTTTGGTAGTTATTTCACCCGCTAAATTACAACGCTCAGTCAGCCCAGTTGAAATAGAGCAGTTCTGAGTATACAAGTATACTAAATTAAAAACTTCCCTCAACCTAAACTTCAGCGGCACCCTCATATCTTTTCCGATGTTACTACTAGAATCAATTGGGTGCAAGCAACGACGCTACCAATCATGATGCATTATAATCTGAAGTCTCGTCATATTGGCCCAACTGCCAGAAAAATTCTGACTAAAAATTGGCGAATCATGGGTCCACTTTACTGCAAGGCAATTTGTCTGGCATTCCCCGATTGTTTCTTGGAACCAGGAATTTGGCACTAAACGTAAATTCTGCTGTAATCGACTGATTTTTCTTTTCAAGTAATTTCGTACTACTGTGAGCTACGCTGTAATCCAAAACTAGCTCCATTGTCCGTCATTGTTCGTCTACTCAAGTTTGGAAGTTCATATCGGTCGACCTGCTTCCTATCTGCTACTCCCTGCGATTCCATGCATTATAGACAACCGACATCCGGTCCAGCTGATGGTTACTGTATTCGGCCTAAGAAATAGGTAACGGAGAGTCTTTTACAGTGATGAATCACCGACGGAAGGAAATGTTTTCATCTCCTGAGTCAATGCAGGCACCTGCTTTATTCGATTGGCCGTGGATTCGAGTTGTCTGGAACCTAGCTCTTAAGTTGCAGTGTTAAACGTTGTGTTTACTATAAACATAGCAAGTAGTAGGTCTTATGTGAAAATTCTCTTTAAGCCAATTACAGTCTCCCCAGAAGTTTCGTCAAAATGGTTCGCATTAGGGCTTAAATAAATGAACACTGCTTCCTGGCTTTTTGCAAAGAGATCGGGCTCACCTATAGCACGAGATTCTCGTTGGAAAGCCTCCGGAAAGTTTGAAAAGCGGCCGATCGTCTCAAAACCACCGGCCTAAAGGACCTCAGAACTCCATGTGATTTCTTCACCAGTGTCACGTGTCCTCTCCACAACAGCATGCACAGCAAGTATGGTTCATCTCGCCTCTCTGTATTAATTTAAAATTTTCCAGGTGAATAATATTGGTCACACGCTTGGTCTGAACTCTGTTTGAAAATGAATGCTCAAATGTTCGTCCAACGGCTCGGTTTCATCAAGAATCACTGCAAACAACATGAGGAAACACCACAGGCCATGCAACAGCCAACCAATGCCATCCGGACCCGAATTCAATGAACATATACGGACTTCTTTTAATGAAAGCTTTTATTTATACCCATAGGTTTGCATTCCTTTTGCTTCACGGACATTTCGAGTTCTTTTATCATCCGGGAGGACACCGTACACCGTCGGAATGGATTCATCTAATCTAGAGAACTACTGCCACTCCTAAGCCACTTCCGGAAACATCCCTTTTACTCTCAATATTTTTCAACACCACTATAATTTTTCATAGCCCGCCCCCTTCCAGTGACTCTTTCACCACGCTGCAGTCCTAATCAATTATATGCCCGTTCTTCTCCGATTTTTGCCTCATGGTTTTGTTTTGCGCTCATTTTATCGAATGCTACATCCTACCAACCTTTAAAGAAGGGAACTAGGTAGCTGCATTCTTATTACGTACCTGCGGACCGGTTACGGTATTGTCTTTTGCTTCACTCTTCATGGATTTTTATGTCATATATTTACTTTTTATACGTTCGCCTGCATGCATGCCTTTCTGCTACATTGTCTCTCATCGCGCTTCTGCATACGCTGGTGCCGCTTTCCCACAACCTGCCGGACTTTGTTCGAGTTCGGTCAGCCGGTCGCCATAGACAATCTTCTGCTCTTCAGTCTTCATTTTGCCTTCCAAAGCGGGAAAAATGTGATTACGAACGAGGCCGCATTGTACTGAACATTTCTGGTGTGGCCTCTACAGAATCGACTGATACCAGTGAAACTGCAATGCGCGAGATAACACGCCAGAATATGTATGCATGGTTTGGAGGAACGTGTGCCGTCAGCTAAGCTGGTATGAGTTGGAGTCGTGGCGGCTGCTGGACGTTCGAATCACTGGAATGACCGGATAAAGCACACCAAACAGTTGTTTAATTAGAATGCAAGAAGCCTGAAAATCTCTGAAGGAAACCGTTTAGCGATCTGTGATATTTTTCGTAATACGATCACTCGCTATGGGAACAAAAAATCTGTGATTCGATGTCAAACACAAAAACGGACTGAGATCTATTGATCCATTCACAGAAAACACTGCATTTGGTCGTCAGTCTGTGTAAGAAGTATGGTGTGAAATATTGAATGACCCAATGAAAACGAGTGGGCTACGCGTGTACACAAGTCTCTAGGTCATAGTTGTCTCTTGGACTGGGTACTTAAACCCATTTTCTGTGCAAGCTTTTATAACTGAGTGGGATGTTTCATAGTGAGATGGAGAGGTTCCGATCCAAATGCGTGAAGTCACTCTAAAGTTGTCAACTATCATGAAAATGTCGGAAATTGTTTGTGGCAGATGGTGCATTTTGTCTACCCCCCCCCCGCAAAAAGAGTGCTACGGTGGTTTTGATGCATGCCTCAAGAGTCAGATTATTGCCCGTTCAGTCACAGTGAATTCGTGAGACTTTTCTCCGGAACGGTGATTGTGATAGTTCTGGATAGCCTTTTATGAACCTCTGGAGGTTTTGATGATGCCTCAAGAGTCAGATTATTGCCCGTTCAGTCACAGTGAATTCGTGAGACTTTTCTCCGGAACGGTGATTGTGATAGTTCTGGATAGCCTTTTATGAACCTCTGGATAAAAGTTTATCCTTGTGTTCCTTGTGTTTCCTATTCTTCATACAGCACTGTTCATTTTACGGAAGGACATGCAAACTTTTGATAAATACTGTCATAAACACTCATTACACACACATACAGAAATATGAATTTTAGTTCACGGTGTCTAATTTCAAACATGCTGGTTCTCCAAGACATCAGTTTCAGTCTACCCGGTCTCATTCTTTTGTCCTTCACAAGTGTTCTGCTGAATCCAATGTGCATTTCATCAAACTGATGGTTTGTGCGGTTCGTTGGAAGTTTACCTCTCCGCACTTTCAGTAGCGTTTGATGGCGATGATACATTCTGAAACATTTATTAATCCTGCTCACCTTAACCTAATTTTGGCACTGATTTGAAACACCACAGACAGTAGTTCCGCTATTTGTGACCCAGCATATTGCCTGCCATTTCAGCATTAAATATGTTCTCATGTCTAACTGTACACAACCATAGGATAAAAAAATTGTGAAATAGACTGGTTTGCAGACTCTATTGTTGATGGTGACGAGAAACCCAGCTGTATCTCTCGTTTACGGTTTTTCTCAACTGCATGAAAACCGCCTCAAGTGTCGGTTAACACGATATTTCAGATATCGATGGACCACGCTAATCATGAGGTTACTGAAATTTTTCGGTAACCCACGATGATTCTTGGCCTTTTGGGGACTCATCTGATAGACGTAGTCTTTGGGTCTCCATCAACCTTAAGCTCTTCTTGAACACTAAACGGCGTAGAAGTAGTGGAGTACGCTCAGTTGCACGGTATAACAGGTTTAAAGGAACATCGTGAACAAGTGGCTGGGGCAAGTATCTCATTAGCAGTCGAGTAGCTTGTACAATAATGTATTTCATCACCTGCGTATAGTTTGGCACACCAGAAAAACATAAAGGTAAAGAAAACTGGTGTACTAGCCTAACCTGGATAAGTTCTCCCTGGAGATATCACCTTTCTCTGGTCGCTGGAATCCTATCATTGGACTGACAAACGAAATACCGGATACTAAAGTTCTGTCCCATTATCTCTTGACAGTGCTCAGTTTCTGGAAACCCTGGAAGCACCGACATCACGTCGAAATAGTTAGGTTAAACGACTGAGAGTGTTCAAACGACTCCTTAACGATGGCTTGGGTGGGTGGCTGCTAGTCCAATGGAACCTGTTCAAGTTAGTAGTGGTACACGAGAGTCTGGAGGAACAAAAATTACAGTCCACAAATCTAATCTGCTATTAATTTAGAAAACGAATCTCACCGGAATATGTTCAACCAATATAGGGTTACTAAACGGGTTACATTACCATCAATAAATGATGAAGAAATGAGTTTTGTGTTGGCCGTAAATGAATAGCCTCGGAATTCACATGATACTCGGTTTCCAATGGCATTTAAATTTAGTTCAATCTGGTCCAGTCTCGTTTAGTTTGGTTCAGAGCACTTAGTTCAATCTAGTATATTCTATGTTAGATTAGTTCGGGTTAGGTTGGGTTAGATTGGGTTAGGTTTACTGTTATCGGAGTGGTCATTTATCCCCGCGAAAGACCTGATAGTTACCGAGTCGTGGATCTGGTTGTGAACTGGCTATCTTAAGAATGATGTGTTCACACCCAGAACAACCCAGTTCCATGAGGCTTGTTGTCTTTTTTCGGGATCCATGTGCTTTGGGTATTGATGGTTCAACTGACTGACTGTTCACGCAGCAGTTTGGATTGTTCCCCAAGAAACGATGTGACTGCTGCTCGGTTTGCACACCTATGGACTTCCAACAAGGATGATGATTTCTTCAGTCATCTAGTGTATATAGATGGTGTTCGGTAGTCGCACAATGGAACTGAAATTTCGAAATTTATGACGTGTCCCTGATGGACCAAAACAATCAGGCAAGTGAGTTCAGAGTGCCAGTCTAAACTTTTGGGCTCCACTTAGGCATCCCAATGGAACTGAATTTCGAAATTTATGACGTGTCCCTGATGGACCAAAACAATCAGGCAAGTGAGTTCAGAGTGCCAGTCTAAACTTTTGGGCTCCACTTAGGCATCCAGGGGTCTCAGCGATTCTGCGAAATTATTCCACCAAACTTTCCCACCAGAAGTATGGTTGCTTCAGTGGACAATGAAATTTGGTGAGCTGCAAAAATATGAATGTAGATTACAATCATTTTTGGTTTGAGCACATACGTAACAAAATGCAACATTTTGGCGCAAAAACCTTTACTCCACTCGTAAAGGTTTTGTAGCTAAGAGCATTGTGCGGCTAATGGACAACTGTATGGACTGTGACTTTGTTTTTCGACTGTTTCTCTGCCAACATCATAAAATACGATATGGTAAACAAAAAAAAAACATGCCGTCCAGGATCTCCTATTATTTTCATATTCGAGAATTTTATACCCGCAATATGACATCAGTATTCCAGTAGCATGCTCCATGTGTCCTGACGATACGACACATATACATAATCTTAATAGCAAATAGGACATTTTTATCCCTTAAGATACCTGCGGATAATGTGGACGTCACGGCAATCTTTTATGTCACCATTACAGGAAAGAGATGTGCGAAAATTAGTCACGCACTGAAGAACTTAGGATGACTTCTCTTCCTTGACGATTGATGACTGGAATGTGCACGTGACCACAACCACCTTAGAACGTTTTTTTACACATCAGTTGCAAAGCAGTCGTGTTTACCACTCAAATTGAAAGTGCAGGGTTCGCAGATCTGTTGAACACAACTCACCCTGCGGTCTAAAGTAAGCCATATGTGAACTATTCCATGGAAGTATCCCAAAATGAACCTTCCATCAGGGAACGATTGGCGGCTGCAGAGACTTCAGAAAAGTGGTTGCCGTTGCTGGATATTATTTCCGTATTCTTATAAATATTTTGTATATTACGTCTGACGTTACTGACCTATCTAGCGAGTCAATTAGTGTTCGCACAGGAAAAATACTGGCTGGGTCAAAAGCTAGAATGAGTCATACATTATTGGTAATGGTCACTGCCCAATCCGAACGAGCCGCTTCACGTAATCTGTCGAGTAACTAATAGGCTCCCAATATTGATCCAACGACATTGCTTGGCTATCGCCGAGATAGTTGCAATATGGTTGGGAAACATAGTTCCATGCTATCGAAAGCGATCGGTACCAGCTCTGGGTCTGCCTTGTTCACGTGACACGAATCAATCAACCCAGTTACTCAGTGGCCCATTGGATCAGTTTACACCCTCCAATTAAATGAGACTTGAGTCTTACTGACAACCAGTTGTCTATTATTCCGCTTTTTTAATTTAACAACCAGGCCCAACTGTTTATTTCATTATTTAAGGTCATTTTAACCGGTAGATATGTACCGACCTGACAACGGGCTTCCGGGATCAACGATAATTGTGCACCGACAAAGTTACGTTACAGTCTTTATTGAGGATTTTGCTTATCCACTCCAGTGTTTTCTGTCAAGCATAACTGGGTCGAGGCGCTTTTTAACAAGCTACTCGATTGCTATGTCTTCAAAAAGCTATAGCCAAAGCCACTTTATCAACATTGTGTTCTGACTGCCTTTGCTCAAATGCACTCACTATCTGCTGAGATTTTTTAACTGTAAATCAAGTGCCTCCATCTTATAAAAAACATCGGTCGCCCCAACCAAATTTTTCATTAAAAAACCGCCGGTGCGCTCAAACAAACGCGCACCTGAGCGCACCTCTGAGGGACCGGGGCCTCAACAGACTATGCCATGGAAATACATTTAAAGTGTGCCAGTGGACGCACATTCCCACGAGTTCACAAACAAGGCCAGCTAGCCTTAGCCCAATCTTGATGGCAAGGTTTGCTGAGGTTAGATTGGTCGATAGCCAGTGCTGTCTGGGTCTCATGGCCGAAGCGTTCAGGGAAACCCGGGGGATGATCGATGCTTTCACTCACTATGCTGGTTGGACAGGTGACAACCGACGCACCTGCGACTGGTGCAAAGCAAATCCACTATGTGACTTTCGTTGTATACAGCGAGTAGGATACTGGGAATAGAAGGATCTCATGCTCCAAGTTGGCTGTCCGGAATAAAATGACTCGTCTGGCAATCGGCTGAGTGCAGATAGGGAGGAAGTAT